TTTTAAAGCATTTTTCCCAAGGTAAATTAATTCATGTTTGGTTGTGATTGGCAGAAAACAAGATGACATTACCCATCTAATCTCACTAGGCCCGTTGACGTGCTTTGCCATATTCACTGACTGCTATACCTTCTCCCAGTTTAATTTTAATGTAATTCACAGGTGATACTAATCTTCCCTCATGCTTCAGACTGTTACTAAAGATAATTAAACGGGACTAGTCCTAACCCTCCCCGTAACAGAACCCAATCACCACCTACCCTTTAATATAATACACTAATGTTATTTTAAACTGAAGTTATGGAAGCAATTGGTGTGGTGACTACACATTGACTATCCATAGCAACAGAGACCAGTTCAAATTATTTGTTCATTTAGATTTTTAGGCAGAAAAATCCAGAAGATTATAAACACTATTTCACTCATCCGTTAACCCCTTTCACTCCCTTTATCTTCAATCCCCAACTACAAGAAAAAAAGAAATCCCACACTAACAGCAGCATCTCCCTAGTTTTCTCTCTGTATCTTCTGCAGTTGAGTCGGAGTCAAGAGGCTTAAGAAAGTCGAGCTCTCACAGCAGTAAACAAGGAGAAAAATATTACCAAGATGAGATAGACAAGCAGACAATCCACAGTGGTTGAACTGTACTGGGAGACTCGGAGGGAAGAGCGTCCCCAGTTACTGCGAACGGTAGGACCCAGCAACGAATAGGATTTAAGCTGTGGATAGGGGAAAATACTGACTTCTCCATCTATCTTTTCCTCTACACACAAAGAGAGGCCAATGTTTCTAAAAGCAAAACCCAGGTGTGTCCCACCCTGCCTGGCATTAGCAGAAATATGGTATGCTGATAAAAAGCCATCTCTTAAATACGAGGGGGAAAGACTCAGGGAGAATTAAAATTGTGCATTGGCATTAGAAATTGCAAGAAATACGGGAGACTGTTTCCTAACCATTAGTTTTACATCTAAATTACAAAGTCATGTAATAGGTAATCCAACCATTCCTTAGAGCTGGTGGTCTAACCTACCTTTGTGATATGTAATTTGCTTCTGGATGGAAGTATTATTGAACCTGTTGCTATTACATTAAAGGATTTTGTATAACAGTCCACAATTTTATTTGAATACTCCATTAAAATGCATTTGGCAGAAAAATATGAAAATAACAAACGTCAAAATTAAAGTTTGATGCTTGATTAGCATGATACCCTTAACGCAGATACTGCCGTGTTTGTGGAGAAACAGGCTTCAAACAGTTATCTAGTTGGTGATCTTTAATTCTAAGTACTTTCATTTGTTTTTGTGCTATGCTTCAATGTTCTCAGAATTCAGAGACTCCTGAAAACTTGTAAAAATGAGAGGAAAGAAGGAAGAGGTCTTTGACGGTCAACCCACTGCACACTTACAGGACCACTGAATGATCATTTTAACTGCCAGATGAACATTGTACATTAGCATTCTTTGCCAGTAAAAGCAATTCTCAGTTTGACCAAATGTTTATGAGGTCTGAAAGCTAACGAGTAAACATATTTTGAAATTGGTTTTCATAATATGTGGCAAGGAATCACCTGCTGTGCGAAACAAAAGGATGATCTGAAGCAGTGATAAGCTACTGTCTCTTATCTAAGCTTGGATTTGCTGATACAGTGAAAAATTCAAAAGCAAATTAAATAATATTAACATTTACAGACAGGATGCTTCAGACCTGCCTAAGGAATAAGAAGCTTGACTCCCAGGTGATAAGCTTGTCTGCTAGCAACTATAGCTCACCAACCTTTGTTTCGTCACTTGTTCTTCTAGACAAGTTCTTCCCACACTGATTTCTTACCTCACTCTTTCTGCCCCTATGACTCTGCCTTTTCTTTATTTAAATGCAGAAATGGCAGGTGAAGACCTCCCCCTCACCTCCCAAAAGAAATATTCATGTTTCCATCAAACAAAGAAATATATGTAGGTAGGCAGAGGAGAGGAGGAGACAGCAACAGGAGTACAAATAATGCATACATATAATGCACACAAATAATGCGCACAAATAATGAATTGTGAAAACAATTCAGAGTTTAACTCTGCAAACAATTCTTTACACAAACAGGACTGCAGTGTTAGAGAGGGCAAAGCCAGGCAACAAGGAAGAAATCAGCAACTGTATAGATCAGTTAAGATGTTATACAGCCTATTCCAACCACTGCTTTATTGAAACAGCACACAGCATGTAGAAGAGGGAGCACGTCTGCAGACAGGGAGTCCGACTAGCCAATAAGAAGAGCAAATTCTGACCTACGCGCAAGAGCGGGTTTACACTACTACCGCAAATTATCTGGAACAGGAGGAAAGATAGGAAAATACAGCTGTGTTTGCTTTGTCAAGCTAGCTAGGCTGAAAGTGCACATTTAGCTCTCACCTCACGCATCAGAGTCAATTTCCTTTTCTCCAAGGAACCGGGAGCCACTTGTTTTTGCTTCTTCCATTTTCTTCTCAGTGCTTTCTCTTGCAGTTCCAGATGCACCAGTGCTTTGTTTTTTGACTTGTGTAACTCATGACGACGCAGCTACAAAAACATTAAAGAATCCAGTTCAAAAAATCAAAGGACAACCTAAAGCAGAAGCAGCAGGACAATGCTAACAAATACTTTTTCTTGATTTTTCCGCTCATGCACTGGATACCATTTAAATGTCATGCTAATACCAATGACCGCCTCACGAATATCCGTAAGTGTCAAATGCCATCAGGACCAACCAAATTAATAAAGAAATTGTATTTACTCCAAAGGTAAGGGAGGAAAAGTCTGTTTTTGTCTACCCGATCTCACTGACTCGGCAAGAGTTTTCTCAGCTGTAAAGAGAGGAAAAACAAACACTCCCACCTACAATATATGTAAAAGGCACAACGCTTTTTCCTAATTTACACCAGTGTCAATCATCAGCGACATTCTCTCTCTTCCTCCAACAATGAGACACATATGCTCAGTTTAAATAAGTAACAAATTAAATGTGACATGCTTGTTCAAATGTCTGGAGGCTATCAAGCCCATCATTTATAGAATCAAGTCTCTCTTCCCTCTCATCTCCATCTGTCCTGACTAGCCTCTCAAAAAATACAAATTTATATCAGCAACAGCTCATACTGCCTATCCCATCCTGGTAATCAGGGCTACCAGCAAAAATTAAGTGGTGTGCTTTTATGCTTATGTTATGCTTTGTAAAGAATAGTCATCGAGTATAAAAAAGTGATCTAAAATTGTTTAAAGAAAAACTCAACATCCTCAGAATTAGAGAAATTCTCAGAATAAAACGTGTTTTTCAGTCCTTTCAGCAGAGATGAGACTTAACTTTAGACTAATCCCCTGGGGTTTCATTTATTTTATGACGGTAAATACTTTACTGAAACAAAAACACGGCTAGCACTTCCTAATGGAGAGAGGAGACTGAAAAAATCTGGTTGCCAGAGAGATAAATGTAAACGTAAGACACCATAAATAAAGAACTAACACTAAAAGCCTAACATTTTCAGAAGCTCAAGAGAGGAGATTAAACATTGCTAGACAAATATTGCAGTAAATACAGCAAACATTTATGCTAGACAATCAGATAAATCACCTAGAAGAGAAGCAATGATAGATTTTTAACTCACTATGTCCTCAGGAGTTGCTCGATGGACTGTCAAATCATGGACAGTACTCTGCAGAAAGGAAGAGGAGAATACATAAAAAGCAAGAACAGAGGAGGAATTGGATTTAAGTTTCATTAAAAAAATCCTTAAATTACAACTTAAATAGTATAAAATTACACAACAGTATATTTTTATAACGTCGTAAAGCATTTGCTAGCAAAGCAAACAATCAGCAAAAATGGTATCCCTATCAAGACTGTGCATCTTAATCTAAAGCAATAGCAGGTTCCAGATTAGAAGACACAACCTTAAGCAGACCAGGGAAGTGAAAAGGGTAACAAGCCCCACAGATGTTAAAATTAATCAGCCATGACAGCCAACAAAGGTAGTACTAAGTCTTCTGTCTGTAGGCAGGGCCACTGTAAAAAGGGTCAGAAAACCCCTGGGCTATAAAATCATTGCAGTTATACTCATGCCATGCACACAAAATTCCCTGTCACGGTATCCTCTCCCCACAAAATCCACACAGACACACAAATTGGGCATCTCTATTTGTAGTTTCCTACACCTGTGTGTTTACATGCTAAGGCTGTTAGAAACTGTAGCTATCGGAAAAACGTACTGCCTTTTTCTTCTCTTCTTTTTACTCAGGCCAAGGTTGAACAAAACTGTAAATCCATCTTTAATGGCCTCCTACCAGATCAAAAGCGCCACAGCCACACGATACAAAGTTTCATGAACCTCAATACTTTCTGCTGGTTCAAGGCTGGTGAAAAAGGCTGGGGGAGGGGGGAAATCACAGAACTCTATACTAGATTTATACCACATTAAGTATTTTCACCAGAAGAGTAGTGCAGCCCTAAATAAGCTACCGAGAGATGCGGTGGATTCTCCATCCTCAGAGATTTTGAAGCTTCAGCTGGAGAGAGCATCGATCTAGCTGACCTAGTGTTGGTGACAATCCCAGTCCAAGCACAACATCGGCGATCTCTAGAGGTTCTCTACAACCAGTACTGCTATGATTATAGAGAATCACCAGTCCTTCTGCACCTGGTGGAAAGTCAACGTGAACCACATGCCACCCAAAAGGCACAATCCGGCACCCGTGCCAGATCCAGGTCAGGCTCACTTTGCTGCCCAGCTCGGCCCCAAACAGACCTGACAGCAGCCACAGCCCCGGAGGGATGACCAGGCATGCCGAAAGTTTTTCCAGAAGCCAAACTCGGAGGCAACCCGGCAAAACTTCGGGCCGCCAGCGAGGGCTATAGGCGAAGCCTAAGCCACCAAGGGCAAAGCGAGACGAGG